CTGTGGGTACCTACCAATTAATGTCACACTGCAGATATTTACATTTTTTAGATAAATAGGTATACTAACTCTGTTTGGGATAAAAATAGTATGCTGTACATATAAGGGGGTCTTCCTATGTGACGGCCTGTTTTTTAGGGATATTTTAGGATTTTTTTTCTACGACCAGTAAATATTTAGAGCTTCAAGTTTTTTATCATTTATTAACACATATTTGGACAGTATAAATATAAAATTTCAGCTAAAAATATTCAGTCAAACTAGAGTTACAGCGCTCTGAACACCCCCGCCTCGAAAAAAAGAGCTCCCACTTCCTCCACGATTCCGGCTGATCGGCTTATCTGAAAAAAAAACAAAAACGGCGCTTTAATTTGTAGGCTTAAAAGCACGGAATGACCTATAATCAAATGAATATAAAAAAAATTGGATTTTTGATAGACATTTGAAATAAAAGTTGCAAATTAGGCGTTTTTTTTTGTTTTTTGCTATAAAAAAATCGAAGTTTTGAAAATTTTCGATTGATAATAGTTCATTCCATGCGTTTACATATATTGAGTGTGCCCTGTAAATTTCAAGTAATTCGGTCCAGCCGTTTCTGAGATACAATGGAGGAAAGTTTGAAAAACACAGTTTTGAGAAAAACGCGTTTAAAGTTTCAAGTCCGTTAAAAACTATTAAAATATCAACTTACTCTCAATCGGCGATGCCTGGTCCATAGAGTATTCCTTCCTCTTCCTCGTGAAACTCTTTTAAAGCAGATTGTTCAGCTCTTGAGTCAATCCTGGCTTGTTTAACGACATCACTTACGCGCCGCTCAGAGCGTAAGATTCGCTTTTCATCCCGTTTCTCAACATACGCTTGGGCTTCACGACCAACAGGGCATCCCATAATCGACATAACTTTTAAAATACCTTGAAAACCTTCATTAAAGATAATAACTGCTAAGTAGCTAGCAATTTCAACAACTTTGGGACCAGAATGAAGATGTTTAGGAGCGAAAGTCCAAATCAAAGAATTCAAAGATTCGTTATTGTTTTGTGTCTCTGCTCCTAAACAACGAATTAATAATTCGTCTTTCGATAAATCTTCGAAAACCGGTTTGATAGCTTCTTGGACTTGCGGAATTAGAGGTGGTTTATCGTGATGAAATTGGTCCAGTTCATTATTAGCTTCAGACTTATGCCATTTACACCAACTGTCTTCGCCTTCTGGACAAAATTGATGCTGAGGGTTTTCATCAGAAGAACATTTGTGATAGTACGTTGCCCAAACTTCCTTTCTCATATCTTCAAGCGAATCTGGATGGCGTCGAATTGCTAATCCGTAGAATTTTGTAATTTCTTGGATAACTTTATCAGTAAGTTTACCTGCTCCTTTTCTGTTTAAGTCTGTAGAAACGTGTTTAAACTTGTATAAACAAATATATTAATAAAAGGGAGGCCAGGTATAAAGCCGACGGTACACAATAGGCCCGGTCTCTAACTGCCAACTCACCGCTCCGAACCGCTCTTTCTTTTACCTGCTGTATCTTTAAAACGACTTCGAATTTTCTAAAATCGCTTTACTACCGTATTCTAGACATGTTAAGGGAGCAATTTATGAAAAAAAAAAATCGATTTTTTCAACCCATCACATAGGAAGACCCCCATAAATCAGTGTATATGTATGAGAATGTTGATTACAAAAAGCATCATATAAATTGTTTCTTGGCGAAGATATCACGTAACACACAGGACAAAAATAAGTAAAAGAGAACCATATTCGATGGAACTCGATTCACAAATGTCATGCAAAAGGTAAAATAATCTGTCGATTGTTCTTTGTTTCATAAAAAGATCAGCAAATATACACAAACACGCCAGTTATCCTAGTCATTTCTTAGTTGTTTTTATCTCGGCTTAAATCCAAAATGTCGTGAGTTCAAAATCTGGCCGATACCAAAAAACTTTCTTTGCAAAATAATTATGACTAACTCTTCAGTGATTGAAACACGGATAACAAACCAAATTAATTCAAAAGACGACGATAGGCTAATGATGATGTCCTGTTATGTCAGATGCAAATGTACCCAGCAAAATGTGGGCATGTCAAGTTTTGTCGTCATCACGAGCGACGTCGGCAGTTTACAATGTCTCTTACAAGGGCGTGACAGTCAGTGTTATTAGTATATTATTCATTTATTATTATTATTATTCTCTATGTTTTAAACCAAACTATGAATTTGCGACTGCTCCATATGCGAATTTGGACTAGATGACGGCACCATGCAACATTTGCCCCACAGCATTAATTCCACTGTATGACATTCATTCAAATAACATTAGTATCCATATAAATATTAAATATATGCTAATTGAATATTTTTCAATGGTAAATGTATTAGAAAATTATTACTCAAAAAATTATATTAGATTATAACCATTTACTGATATTTCCTTATCCCTTAAGTCCTATAATTTAACATTGGTCTAGGTAATTTTTTTTCTACTCCGCGTATAATCTAATATATTTTTTATTATCGATTATTTTGCCTTATCCCTAATATTAGAACACCTTGGAATGTAGGTGTTATTGTTCTTCGATTATTATTTAATATTTTTGTTTGGAATCTATCAAAATAACCTGTTTTATTTAAAACATAATAAATCAGTTTATCTGTAATCGATTCTTTTTCCCACTACTCTTACTAGCCCATTTAGGATAACCGCCGTGAAGAAAATATAATTACTATTCCATATATAAAATACTATGACATGATTGTATCAACCGCCTACGTCGTAAACGTTACTTCCCGATTGCTTTATGAGATCTGACCTTCGTATCGGACTTAATGCATGCATGTACATTATAAAAGGTTAATTTTTCATGTTGTCCAACCTGTTATTTGATTATATACGTGATTGTCCGGTATTGGAAACATGCTATTCATGTTCTCTGTTCAATCACCATAAGACATATTTACTGTATCAACTGTACCAACTATATATACCAAGGTAGACTATGAAAAAGTCTTCTACGTAGACCTCTACTTTACCTATTTCTGCCGCCAAGTATAGTAGTCGTCGAGTTAGTCTTGTAAACTGTTTCGCTTGAAGACATAAGGCACAGAAATTGCAGGATATGAAGGCAGATCAGCTTAGTACTACGGAATGGCAATGAATGGTCATGATGTCCGTAGTGCTGTTCTTGTATATGAGCGACGGTTATTCCAACAGGTCGGCCGACACGTAAACTATAATTCTATACTGACCGCTTGTGCCTTACTAAGTGATATACGTATATGTGGGGCTGAAGCATTACCCGAAGGCTGTAGTTATTTTTTTTATATTAAGTAAGCCGCCAACAAGGATACGGCCTATTTGACGGTAAACGTTTAACGCAGCCCATGGACTCTTGAATAGAATAGAAAATCCTTTATACATAGAAACTTAACTAAAGCACTTTTGAATAGTCCTCATATTTTTTTTAATCTACCGCTCATTCGGAATATATCTTATCTTATCACAAAAAGAATGACAGAAGAAATTTGCGTGTTACTCTTTTAAATAATCGTTGTATCTTTACATTTTTAAGTGGAAACGTGAGGAACAAACTATCAACTAGCAATAATTTATTAGGTTTTTCAAATTAAATACACTATGGTGTAACTGCAACACCAGTGGTGTCACGTGCGCGTTGTAGACCCTAAATAGATGTTATCGGCAGTACATATATTATAATTTTTAAATTATTTTTTAAGTAATTGAATTTGAACGCAAAGATTTGTATTGTGTATATATTTGTGATTTGTTTTAGTTCACTTAATTCCTTTCGCTTGCACGACTACGTAAGCAGCTGATTAGTAAGGTCGTTTCGCGTACGTCCGCTATTTTCATGGCCCGATTCACCGTCATTAATCATTGACGCAGCGTATGGACATATATATAATATATTATATATATATATGGATTTTATCAAAATCAGTCCTGAATCGGTAAAGATAAAGAAGCAAGATACACACAAAAAATATATAATTAAAATTAATAAAACCACGTATATATATGTATATATACATCCTATATATTATAATATATAGGAATTTCTCCCCGATTGTCCCATATGTCAAAAATGACAGGATATTGAATGAAGTAGATGCTTATATCTGTGGTAAGTTCTATTATTTTACTTATCTTTATATATAGGCTATACTATGTACATTCATTAATCTTTTATAATCATCGCTTATTAATCAAATCCTATTAGATTTAAAAAATACCTACTTGTAAAATCAATATAAACAATGTTTATATTTAAAGTGTGATTAATAAATGCTATAGAGATATGCTATCAGAAATAAAGTCATTAATAATGGGTCTATTTTAATATTCTTTTATAACGTATGAGTCTACTGAATGTCACAATGATAAGGATGAGTATGTTTATTGATTATCTTTCGAAATAGTAAGTATTAATGTAAGTTCACCCTAGAAATCACACAATACACAATACACTTTAGCTACATGCATGTGCAGCTATTTGCCCCTCATATCCTACTGTGGCTATTATTTTTTAAACATTAAATCAGATCGTTGAACTCTTTTGTATGACACGTTTCGTAAAATCTGCTAATATATTTTGATTCTTTAATTATATTTAAAAATAATTATACTTATATTTAGGTCCTATACTATACATCCTAATAGCAGGTATGGGTTATATGATCCCATAAATATAACAGTGAAAATTAGTCACCGCATTATACTTCTGCGTTTATTTTAGTATTTTCTAACTACCCTCATAAAATAATAAAAACGAAAGTACCTACAGTTATAGCTTTTCCACTAAAAAAAACATATTTTCCGTTACCTCGCGTAATGTGCTCTAAAGACCGTCAACATTGTCAATCAACGATAGTAATCTCATCGTTTGGTGGCAAAATCTGTCCATTTCCCCTAGGGTTTATTATATCCGTAGCGCGGCGTGGTAGTGGTGCGTAGTTTTCGTCGGCAGTCGCAGGAGGGCGCTCCGATCGGTTGGACGTTAGGTAGCGCCGTCGCACCGCGCTGCACATGCGACCGCGTATCAAATACGATGACGGGTGTCCCGCGTCCGGTAACACGCACCCGCTTTCTACGGCCAAACGGTACAGAAGCCGCCTGCTGTCTCTGAGCCGTTATTGACATGTTTACATCTGTTCACTCGTCAACAAATAAACTTTTTCACGGTTATCAACATCAACTGATTCATATGCGCTTCAGCTGAAGGATTGCGAAACTGTACAAGTGAAGTTTAAAAATACATTGGCACTAGTGTGTGGTGACGCCCGTTCGAGATGTGTTCGTGCAGTAAATTCTACGATTTCTGTAGGAACTCATGCGGAGCAGGTAAGATCTTCGGAACACCTTATCTACCTACTTCAGTCCCGAAAGATGTGAGAGTAAGAAATATAAGTTGAAACGAGGTTCTCAGTTTAATTTAGCTTTCTTAGTTTATTGTTATATATGTAGGTACAACCATATCGTCGACAATTTAGAACTCATCGGACTTCGTCTGCATTTTATTGAGTAAAATGTGCTTAAGTCTGCTTATGTCCGTTCTCGTGATATAATCTGCCTTCATGCCACATTTCATAAGCGCATTGAATACAGAACAACGATGGTCTGATGGCTGGCTCATCAGTTATACTCGTGAACGGGTGCTGATTTTGCGACAGGTCTGCTCTATAAGAGCTACTATGACTGATTTATTTTGTTACTCAAACTATTACTAACTATTATATTTTTTTAATTTTGACAATTTGTATTCAACCAAAATTTTATCAATATTTAAAAGAGAAACAAGCTTGAATAAGGTCTTTTATAATTACTCTACAAGTTTACTCACATAAAATAATGCATTAAATAAAATATTTCAAATTAATTTAAGTTTTGAAAATAGACATTTTAATCAGGTATTTATAAGTTTACCGTGTTATAATTATTGCGATTTCCACTCATCTGGATTTATGTCACAAGTAACTGAAATGGTTAGAATTTACATAATAATATTCTATTTACTACAGGTATATATCATATAGATCTGCACTGTTATCTCTAATTCATTGTTTTTATTATCTACTCGACTATTTGTACAACAATGTCTACAGAAGTGTTATCTCTTATAAATTATATCTGTATCTATACATTTATTAATGTATAATAGTTGTTTTTTAATTAATTAAACCTGTAACAGGAAAAAATATGTACAGCATTCATACTATATTAATTATTCTACATCTCTGATGTATGTAGACATCAGAGATGCATAATTTAACTTCAACAATAATTATGACTGTAATTCTAATTTAATATTTCATTATAATAATGAAACTATATTGTAATAAAATGAAAGAAAGTTACTTTTATTCTCAGTATTGAGTAGGCATGGTCATTTTTTGTGTACTCATCTATTGATTAATACTTGTGTATTAAATTGCGTAAAGTGAAAAGTTACCTTTAAACTACTCAAAGTTCTTGTTGACAATGACTGAATATACAAATGATACAAGGTTTACTGGTACGCAAATTGTTATTGAAATTTCTTTGCCATGTCTAGAATGCTAAATACTATATATATACTTTAAAGTAATTTGTTTATGTTATAACAGGATATGTTGGATACTTAAATTTTATATTAATATAATTGTTGGCTTATTATAAATCGTAAAATACCTAAGTATAAAAAAACATGGTTGATATACCATTAAACTTGGTATTATAATTAAACTTCTTGAGCTGTATACGGTAATTCAAGATTTAATAATCGAAAGGATTTTTGTTGTGAGTGAAAATTTATTAAAAAAAATATTCCTATTCTCATCTCATTTTTTTTATTAATATATATATATTACAGATACACATATAAGTTTCTACCTATATGATTTCGTAAATTCTTAAAGGCCTAGGTTTAGTGCCACAAAGAGAATGTATCAACATCACGCTAAAATTCATGGTCACCAATCTGTATAGGATTATTTATAAAGTTGCCTACATTATACACATATATGTGTTATTATATACCCGTAATCTTTGTTCTGAAAAGAACTAAATCTACTCTTTCCTCCCAGTACTACCGTGTTCATGTAACGACAATATCATGCAATGTACTGTACATTTATATATGTATTAATCGTACGTAATCTTATATCTATAGAATATTTCTTATATTCGTACCTATTAATTTCTACGTTCACAACGCAAAGTAAGGTTACACGAAGAAACAGTCGAATATAATTTTTATTTCATCTGTTCTGGCTGGCCACCCTCACATTCCATTTTTCGCTCTGGTGACTCCAAGTTCGTGTACCATAGTTACATTGTCTTTATGCTAGACTGTAGTTCGGTTACGCTATATGCTTTTGACTTCAATTAAAACCTCAGTTATCACGACCCAATTTACCAACCTTCTTTTCTGAGATTCTAATTGTCCGAGATCTTTAATCTGGGCAGGTTTAATCGAACTACATAATTGAGAATGATCTTCCGGTTTCTGAACTTAAGGTCAAGTGTATGCGTTATATCATGATTATAAAATGCGCCATTTAGAAATATATTTATTTTGCTTACTTTAATCTATTTTGTGTCCTAAGCCATGAATTTAATGGACGTCACTGTCCTTATTCAATTAACCTTCTTAATCTCTACAGAGGTCGACGTTCTAATAAACTTTATTTCTTCATCCCCGTCGATCAGCATTTAATAGTGACTCGAATTCTTAGTCTCAATAACAAAAGAGTCTACTAATATTGTTTTATTTTGTCCTCAGAAAAGCTATTTCACTTTCAAGATATTGCAAATGATTTACATATAGTAAACGAAAAGAAAATGCTTTAACGAAGGTTTTTCCTTTGTAAGAATGTCGGTCAGTCACGTAACGTATGCGTTAATTATTTTCCGAAGCTAATCTTCATGTAAGTTTGTAACGAACTGGCGAGGGCTAGTATTGTTTGGCGGCTGTATCTACCGCTGGTGTGCGGTAATACAACAGTGAACACGTCCACCGTACAATGCCATCGGTCGCGTCGCCTCGCAAAACGTGCTTTGCATCAGCTTGTTTTGATTATTTCTTGAGTAATACATCTAGTATTTTAGTAATTCTATTACAACCAAATTGGCAGTATTTTATATATTTCATGTATAAAATAGTAATATATATTACTATTATTACTAGTTATAGAAAAAAATAATGTTTTAGAAATTTAGATATAACTCATTAATTGATAATGTAAAATGGAGAATCTTACGTCTAAAATATTTTTTTTAGTTTTAAATTTAATACCAGTTTAATATTTTATACGCGGGATTGACTAACAAATGAATATATTTGATTTCAAGTTGTATCCCTTCGTCTATCGCGTTAGGACACGTGCTAGTGTCATCGAAATAATGTGAGCTATTCCGATACAGATTATTCCTTGAGAATACATGAAAATAAAACGGTATAGGTAGTATAGGTATGCTGATCAGAAAGCTAAACAAGCAAGTAATAATTAATGTGTTCACTTTAGCCTATTTGGCTGAACATGGCGTCGACGTCGCCTATTCAGCGCCCGATTACACAATCAATAAATTTTCATGATTGGTACTACGAGTGTAATAATGTACTGATATATTATAACGGCCACATTATGTACCATAAATTGTTCTATTCATACGTCCTGTAATGACTGATATGTGCATGAAAATGTCATCGGTCTATTTTGTTGCATACAGACATACCTACGGTTAGAGATAATTAGATAATGTATGAGCATTTCCGCTATTCTTCATAGTGTATTTTAAAATAAGTAAACCATAATTAATAGTTTAAATACGTACTTAAGTTGAAGATTAGTATTATATTAGTAGTTGTTACATTATAGTTTACACAATTTAAGTGTAAATTGTGTAATTATCATGTGACTACACAACACATGTACATACAAATGTTTACAATAATATACCGTAATTACATTTAAACTAAAAATATTATTTCCAAAATAAAATATATTACCAAAACAACCGTAATAGGTACATACCTATTTTTAATACAAACACTAGTCTTGATATAATTTGAATGATTTCATCTGTTTTATTGTACAAGTATTAGTCTAGAAAACATGTTTATCAAATAGTCTTCATTAACTGAATATACTTTAGCTACTACTTGTTATCTTTGTCGCCAAAATAACAACAAAAATAAATATAGTATACTATAATCAAATGTACCTAATCGCTACGTAATATATAAGATTATACTGTTAATATAAATGTTTAAATAAATAAAATTTACAGATGTTTTTTTGCTACTCTATAACGAAACGAATTTCTCCATATTTAGATAAATATTGTAATAACTAACCAGTTTTTAAACTGACTGTGACTTGAAGAGTAAGGCCTGGTACAGGCATTACAAGGTTTAAAAATGACTGTAGTCATTAATCATCAGATCAGCAACTGTGAAATTATATGCCTGATTCTTCTTATAATATTTATTACAGGTACATACTTTTATCGTAATTTAAGTGGGCCAGCCACGGGATACATAGTGAGTTGTAGAGCTATTCTGATATTCAAAATATTAAACGGAGCGTTAATTGTACTGGAAATATATATGAGGAGAAGATGAGTGTTATAAGTTTTTTTTCTAAATGACCCATATAAGATCTCTAAATGATATATATATACATTCTAAAATATGTAAAAGTTTTGTGGTATGGACCATAGCATTTTTATTTGTAAAAAAAACTATATACTACCTGTTTAATCAGCCGTATTTAACGTTTAATACAATGTCGTCATCAGATTTATTATTTCTATCGGACGCAATCCGTCATAGTCGAGCGCTCGACCGGTCATGTCGATTTGAAACCGTCTCAAGAACATAAATTCGTCTCGCTGAATTCAGTCACGACTAGAAGCCTTCTTATATTTAGTACCATCAGACTCGATTTTGTTTAGCCATGAAAATACAATTATTTCGCTATTTTTTTTCCTGAGAAGGCTTATAGGTACTTACATGTTCAAGTCATTTTTTTTTTGTATGAATGAACAGATTTTTATAAAAATCTTGACAAAAAATACCTTTTTTTCTATATTTGGCTATTAACTACAAAATATATAAAATAGTAAATGAACCTTAACAGAAAACTCAACATAATTGAAATAATATTATGTGTTGTTTAAATAAATCTAAAAAGTTAAAACTGACATAATAATTTTAAGTCACAGCTATGTCGTTTTCATTGTGAGACGATTTCTTTTTCCTTATACGAAAGTTTATTTTAAACAAGTTATTTTAATACTGCCACATGAAAGTTTATATTAACATAAAAGATTTTATTTTCTAAAAACAGATTTAAGGTAGT